CAGCAATAAAGACCTGGGACTGAATTTCAGCTGTGTCTTTGTTTGAGTTTGGATGGTTTCCATGTGCATGTATGGATTATCTTCAGTTACTTTTGCTTCCTTCCACTATCTAAAAATCTGCAAACTAGGTTATCTGGTCACTTCAGTTTGCCTTTAGATGTGACTGGTTAATGAGCCACCTGCTGACCACTGGAAATAGATGCCAACCTCTGTGGGGCCCTGAAAGGATTTAATCCAAATGTAACTTATTTAGAATATGGATTACTCACTTCAACACATTAGTTGTCTTGACATGCACTTGAGTCTTGAGTTTAGACAATTTATCACAAGGTTATAGTTACAAATTCAATAAGAAACTGATTAAGGCGTTTAACATCCTAATGTGCAAGAAAAGGGAGAAATCCCAAGGTAATTTATGATAAGCAGAACAAAAAAAACAAAAAAACAAAAAAAAAAAACAACTCCTATGGCAAAAAGATTAAGAAGAGTGGTAAATAGAAAAGTTAGAAACAAAAATACCTGATTTCAAATAAAAAAAATGTATGGAAAATTTTACATTTACAATTGTAAGTAGCTTTTTACTTTTTAAAATAAGAGTGGGGACTCTTCTAAAACTCACCACTTCTGAGCAGGTGCATCAGAAAATGCACCTGCTCCAATGTTAAAAAATAGAAGCAAAAAATAATACTTAACACCTTTTAAAATTCACATTCAGATTGACTTTGTCTATAAATGTGTTTCTAGTTGCAAATTTCAGAAAGAAAAAGATGCAGCATACATATTTAAATACTGCAGTTCAAACACTAATGCCACTATTTTATTTATTCAGAAAGCAAAGCATCGTCAAACATCTTTACCATCTGAAAACCAACGTCAAAGTTGCTTTTACTCACAGTCTAGGCATAAAATACATGTTTTGATCAACCACAAATTAGGTGGCTATTTCCAATGTAACTGCTTCTAAAAGAGACAAGCTCCATTTTATGAAATAATACAATAAAGCACATTTAAGACTCACCCTATGTCAGTTCAGTCCAGTCTGTGAAGTAAGAATGTGCTGACAGCCAACTTCACTCCTCAGCAGCTGGAAGATATCCGTGCACCTTCTCTGACACACTTGTGTTTGTGAGTAATGCCTCAGCACATCTTGAGACCTTCCTTAAAGGAAGGCACTCAGAGGAAAGGGTCAATAAAAGTTTGAAGGTTTACAGTGTGCAACAAAACAGAAATATATATGTATGCTGATAAAGGAATAAGTGGGACATGAGCTGGAGAGAGTATTTAGTATTTAAAATTAATCTATTTTAAATACTTATGGGACAGCATAAATATCTGTTAGAATGTTGCAAACAGAAAACATTAAGGTAAAAAGGAGGGATTTGTGGAGATTTGGGTATAACTTTAGTGTATTCTAGATTTATTCCACGGACCATGACCTCCCAGCAAACATGTAAAATAGATAAATATTTGCCAAAACCAATAAATTTGTGAATCCTAAAATATT